CTAACGTAAGTGTTAAACACCTTTATGTTTGTAGTTTTTTATTTAGATATTATGTGTGTGTCAATACCATCATAAAATTATGATGTTATTTTTACAACAAGGTACGTATTGTGTCAGAAAAAGTGGAGTTTGGGAGTCGGCCCAGTCTCTATTTCAATTAATCCCATATGTTCTGTTTACGCGTTTCTCATTTTACGCAGACCTCCACGGGTTCAATTGACCGCGTAAATGCAGACTATACTGTACAGTACATAAAGTATTAGTTCTGGTAGTGTGTGTGTGTGTGTGTGTGTGTGTGTGTGTGTGTGTGTGTGTGTGTGTGTGAAGTTGATGCAAAAGATACTATGGTATCTAACATTGGAAAGTTGTTTTTGCATATTATTACTGCCAGAATATGAACAATTATATGGCTAGTTATAAATTACAGTACAGGTACTGTACTGTGCAGTATTAAAGTTTTTGGCAGATCTACAAAAAATATGTCCCAGAATGTTTTCCCAAATATCTGTTGACTCCAAATTTCCAAATCATATAACTAGAGAACATTTCAAGTGTACCTTTTTATCGATAATGATCTGTAACTACCCGGAAGGTTGGAGTGTGTCCTCAGATGCCTGGACAAAATTAACTTGAAAATTTCAATTACAGTATAGTAGACCCTTGCCATTCGCGAGTTTGCTATTTCGACGATTCGCGGCAAGCAGATGGTGGCTAGCCTGCAAGCCTTTTCCCGCAGCACAACGAGTCACCCCACGCAGCATCTCGTGTTGTACTCTCAAAACTTTAGTGTTTCTGTTTGAAATGGCCCCTAAAAGACTGCCGAATGTCAGTGCTAGTGATGCTAGTGGAGTGAAATGTAAAAGGCAAAAGTCGGTGATGACCCTGACAAAGAAAGTTTTATTATTAGATTAGTTAAAAAAGGGTATGAATGCTGCCACGGCTGGTCAGTTGTTGTTATAGGTATACAGTAGTGCAGTTTTACCTATTGGGCCCTTTCTTGGAACCTATCCCTCACGAATGGCAAGGGTTTACTTACTGTAAAAATTGGTTGTGTGGTGTGTTTCAGTTGTTATAGTGCATTTTTTTTGGAAATGGGGAGGGGGAAGGGACATAAAAAATATCATTAGTACCACACGTGAAATGTGTAGTCACCAAGTAGAAAAGCACTTTTCCTCTGGAGCTGTCCTTTAAGTACAGTATTGTTAAATACTGTATGGTGTTATTCGACTCTATAGCAAACATTATTTTCACCATTTATGTCTGATTAACTATATGGAAAGAATACTGGTACTTAATATAATCTTTTCTTTTACACAGTACTGTATCTAACAACAGGAATTTCATATTAATATTATTCGTAACTCTAGTCAATGAAAACTTAATCAGTCCAGCTTTGTGACAAGTGAAAATGCATTATTTCATATTTCAAGGTACAAATGATACTGAAGGTAGCTAATATTATATAATATGCTCTAAAAACTCTATAAACAACTTAGGGCCCACATTACTAGTTATTATTGCCATAAAGGAGACCAAACACAAGAATACACCCACACTTGCAAGTTGCTTCTATTAGTACAACATCAAATTTTGGAAAGCCGACTTACCCCGGCATCTTTCCAAGGTAATCTACAAACAACTCTGGAATAGAGGAAGAGTCAACAACAATTAGGAAAATTTTTAGAGAGTTTAACCCAATAATTTATAAACTTTAACTAGAATGGATGTGCCAGTCCTTTACATTACTCCCATTCATATTACTGTATATTCAGCTCTATTCAGATTAACTGAATAAACCTCCACACTATCCTACAGTGTATAGGCCGAATATCATGCACTTTATGGAGAATGGATAATTAAATACAATACAAGGATATAGGAAACGTTAGCCTAATTTAAAGTGAATATGTCTTGAGGCAATGAAACAGTTCTGATGCCATACCTCTCAAAATACTGAGATCTATACTGGCTACTCACTCTTAATAAAAAATAACTCGTGTCATTGTACACATTTAAAAAAGTTTTGAATTATAAAAGGCTACAAAAAAATATTTAAGGCAGATGGAATAATTTCTGGTGAACTGACATCAATATCATGACATACATGCATGCAAGTGAACACTGATATAAAAGCTTTTCACACACACACACAAAAATATATATAGAAAAAATTTACTCTTAAAGTAGGTAGTCACCATTATGCCACATAAAAAAAATCATTTTCAAAAAATACAGGACAGAAAACATTTAAGTTTTAAGAATTCAATTTGTTAACTTTACTCATACAGTGGAAAGGCTTTCATTAGTAATTGGTTGACTAATTCAATTAAAATTTAGATTCATTCAAATTGTTTGTAGAAGAAATGAGGAGCTGATCCTGAAATACCATTTCATAATTAAGCCTATGGAGAATGAATTCAAAATATACCCACTGAGAGTTAGAGATTTAGAAAACCAGGGAAGCTGTAATCCATGTCAGCAAGGACTAATCTGAAGGTCAGCCCTCATTAGAGTTGGAGCTAATGAGCTGTGGCCATTACACATAGTATATACAGTACTTAATCTGTTCTTTAATTATCTGGCTCAATTACTGCACAGGAAACAGGATCACCATCACAAACTGAAACTTTTGCAGAAGACCCTGAGGAGGAGGATGGGATCTGAGTAATTTTATCCAGGCTTAGTTATAATATAGAATTTAAGGATCAATCCCTTATCTTATAAACACTAGACATTCTGGAAGATAATATTCAGTCTTGGATATACTCATGCATTGAGTGTTTGACCTTTGCTAGGCAATACCCCAGTACTGTACCAGGCAGTGATTCATAGGACCACACTCCTGGGCTGAAAATGCTGTCATAATGGAATGATTTAACTTAAGAAATAAAAATACAATACCATATCTATTTCATGATATTGTATACATTACTGTACTTACCATATAGGCTTTTGTTATACTAATAATAATAACACCAGTACAGTAATAATGACAATAAAAATATCAGTGACCTAGACAATAATGGAAATCACTGGTTGTTCCTCTTGGAAGTCATATGCACTATCCTACTTCATCTCCTTATACTGCAAAACATTTTGGTCTTTGACATTTGCTATCAGAAAAACTATAGAAATAATAAAAGCAGTGACACTCACCATAACCAAATCTACTTACAATTACAGTATTGTTTATGGCCACAAATGCTATCGACAACTAAACTTGTCAAACTATTTAGTGGTCACCTACCCTGGCCCCAGGTTGAGTTCATTTTGGTATTGGTGGAGAAATGGAGGCACCACTTACTTGGGTAAAAATCTGGTAGGAGGTATTAAAAAAACTAATGTGAATTCATGAAAATCATATACTGTATACCGGACAACCACAGAACTCTATAATGATTTGTATAACGGATATAGAGCAAAAACAAATCAGAATACATTGTAGTCACTAGATACATTGTGTATGTGAAGGGGACTCTTTCTCAGAAATGCAAACCATTCAACATGGTTCTGTAATTAATGTCATTGTAATTGACATTTTCAAGTCCTACAGTGATCTGCAAACTTCTGTAGTGTCCAAGTGTGGTGCAGACTGCCATTATCGTGAAGACAAATACATTTTGCTTTTCATGGAACGATGAAAGTCATCAAGGCATAGGTTAGGTTAGGACGTTTCGTTAGATTTGATTTGGTCATTTTTTTTGTTTTTACGTCACAATTTTCCTCTATTTCAAAGCCCTGCCCACTCTGTGCGATCAATATTGTACTTACTTAAGTGAAATAAAAAATCATAAAAACTCCAAAAATATGAACTTGTGATGAGAATGATCGAGTTTAATAATCTTTTTTATTCGGCTCTATACAAATCAATACAGAGTTCCATGGTAAAATCTCTACTGAATCTTTATGAATTGTTATTCCTCTACAGGATTTGGGTTATTCTTGAGTTAACAAATAAGCTTCCATCTACAGGTTTTTCATTATGTAGCAGGTTAACCATGACCACTGTTGTTAAGGGTTACCATTTTTTTCCATTACTGTATACAGTATCTTAAAATATTTCCATATTAACAGAAGTACTGTACATATTTTACATTTATAAATAATGTAATTTATACAATTACTACAAAACCCTCGCATTACCAAATCAAAGTCCTAAAGCTCACAAAATTTATCTCGAAACAATATTGTTTTAAAAATAATCAGTTTCCTATGAAAGAACACAATTGTATGCAAGGACAACTTTTCTAGTTACACACAAAGTTCGACAAATAATAAAAGGAGACAGCTGTACCTGTGTGGTCTGCTCCCCTTCTGCATCCTCTTCTATAAACCACATACAAATATTACAACAATCGCTGAAACACTCCCTACACACACCCGACACGCTCGTCTACACCTGTATTTAACACAGTACATGGAAGATAATACATTCCCCCACTTACTCTTCAATTCGTGAGCAGGTGTTGATGAAAAGAGAGTAGTTGTCTGTAGTACTCGCCCACACAGACCACAGCTGGGCTACACCCTACCCGAGAATAGCGGATGTCTGTTTACATGGTATCACCCCGTCCCATGGCTTTAATACGAGATTAACCAATGAAAACACAGAGTCAAGTCTTCGGTTTATAAATCTGGATTCTTATTGGAAAGTGAATTTACTCATTAGTAAAATGTTTTTTTTTTCTGAGAAGAGCGATGTTGTAAGCGATAATTTTAAAAGCTAAAGTGAGTTTTATCAACCCAATAGTATTGAAACACTAATAGAAATATTTAATAATAATTCAGAATTAAAATAAAAAATAAGAACTTGACGGACGAATTAATGATGTTGCCATCTTATACTCCATCATAAAGTCCCTAAGTTGGTAAATATCAAATATTAATAATTTCATCTAATTATATTGTTTTCTTTAACTTTAAAATTCAAATAGAAATAAAAAATGTCCTTAATACAATAAAACTCTGTCCCAGATGATCCATATGTTCTCATTTGACAGTGCACCACGTAGTACATCCCGGTGGGTGACGCTAGATGTAAACAACACGCCGCCCCACCTGCTGGCAGCCGCAGTGTTTTCTTCAATATTTCTGGTAATTTCTGAAGTAAAAAAAACGCTCTTAGGTGATAAATATATACAATTATAGTAAAGGATATGTGAAGTAATTAGTTAATACTTAACTTATAACTAAGCTGTTAATGCCATATTTTTTGCAGTACTGTACATGGCTTGTATTTGTCACCTTAGGCCAGCTGTGTTTTGGGCGTTATCGGGACGAGCTCCTGTTTTAAGTCGTTCGATACTCGATTTATAGTCGTTTGTGAAATCATGTTAGAGGCAAAAAATTCGGTAAAGTTGCAGATTATAGCAACCAAAGAATATGATAAAAAGATGTGTTACCTAACCTAACCTAATATAAGAAAATGGCCATAGAAAAAAATAGTGCTATCTATTGAGTATAGTGAATTTCGGAATTCTGTGGTTGCTGTTATTTTTTTTTTCTACACCGGGATTAGCCCACCCGGGCATAGGTCACTGACCCACATCGGGGCCTGGGGGGCGAAAATGTAATAACAATATTTCATAGTAAATAAAATTTATAATAAAAAATACAAATTTAAAAATAAAATAAAATAATGCTAAGAATAATAATAACACTAATTAATAATAATGGTAATTATATAGGACTAACCCACGTTTTTTATTTATCATCCCCCTCCCATCCAACAACCTTGAGGGACCCGTGGGAATTTGGGGTATGAGGTGGGGGTAGAGCAAAAACAGAAGCTAATAGGAAGCTGATCTAACCTAACCCAACCTAACTGGTGTTATGGCAGTTTCACTCCCAATTGGGTTAGAGCAATTTTGGATTCACCAAAAGTTATATCTCGTCAATTGCAACAACTTTTTCTAATACTACCACTTCCGTTGCAAATACTGTATATATAATGACAGAAAGAATAATGTTTAGAGTTGAGGAAAAACCTAGCATAGTATATGATACAGTACGTACTCCTTAAATTATAATAATAATAATAATAATAATTAACGGTTTATTGAAAAAATTCTGCAGCCCGAAGGCTGAAAATATACATTGGACATAAATGACTTATTACATACATTGGTGGTTTAACAAAAGCCTTCATTAGAGAAAGGTAAAGGAACATACAGATTAATGTAGGTGTTGAACAGCAAACTCGTAGTGTAGTAACTCCCTTCCAGATGGTGTTAGGAGGAACTCACGTGGTGTAGTAGTTCCCTCAGATGGTGTTATGACGGACCTGGCGTGGTGTAGTAATTCCCTCGCAGATGGTGTTATGAGGGACCTCATATGGTGTAGTAATTCCCTCACAGATGGTGTGATGAGGGACTTGACGTGGTGTGGTAATTCCCTCACATTGGTGTTATGAGGGACATGTGGTGTAGTAATTCCTTCACAGATGGTGTTATATGAGTGAGGTTTGGTCTTAGGCCTTCCTATCGTAGACGGATTAACACATCGCTGGTTGTTGTTGGGTCTCATGGGCCGTTATCACTGGGTACCTGGGACCTCACTGTGTGAAGGTTAACTTGGGTACGACTGTTACTGTTGAGTTGTTCTCACTGACTTAAGCGCTGTTCACCACTGTTCACCTCTGTTTAACACTGGTTCCGTTCCTTTCCTAAATGAAATTGTAACTTCTGGCGAGTACTTGTTGATATTCCGGTGGGGAGGAGGGTTCAGGGGAGGGGGTTGGTATGGGCCAACTTAACAGTTGACCTGGCTGCTCCGAGAGAAGCACCAGGTGCGTCTTGACCCTTCGGTGGTCAAGGATTTGCTTGAGCAAGTGCCTGTAGCCAATCACAAAACATGTAAGAACAGCTCTGGAAGCTCCAACTACTTGATCACATTTACAAAAAAATGGTTAGACCTGTAGTATTAAATGAAACATTATGGTTTTGTAGAATTTAGTTATGTGGGCCCTTCAAATATGCAGACTTCTGTTGTACAGTATATAGGGATGTCACCTAACAAAACTTAGTCTTTGAGTTGCAATAAAACTCATCAGTATAGGATTACACAGTGGAAATGATGGTCTTCATTTATTATTCCAGATGATTCATAGTACTCAACTGTCAAGTTTAACTGATCATTTATCCATTACTGTTCCAGCTTGGCTAACAGTCCACGATGCGTCAGTTAAAAGGAAAAGTAAAAGAAACTGCAAAGGAGAAGAAGGAGAGGAAGAAGGAATTTATGGAAAATAAGGATAAGGCATTCACTGTGGCCCTCCCAGTGTTAGGAGCAGTGTTCCTTCTAATTGCCATTTTGGTTTACTTCAAGACAAGACCTAAGGAGATAGAGCTGTGAGAGCTGTTCTATATGTTGCTGACCATCAAAGATATTGATAAAAGCAGATCATAATTATAATGTGTGGATTCTAGTGTTGGTAAATATTATTTTATTATAAAAAAACATGTTTCACTGCTCCATTGTTAACTATGGTTATAGAGCTATTTAGAAGATATATTGTTATTATATTGATAATGAATAGCATTTACTGCATCCCCTCCATACAAGAAAAAGGGGCACTTACAGGTACTGTATAGTACAGTATTTATATAGTATTTCAAGAATTTTGCATGAAACAAATGCATTTTAGATATGAAATTAAAAGAAAATGTAACAGATCAAGGTTTTGAGTACAAATGTGTAGTCACTCTGAATTAGCAGAAAGAAATTCAAATGTTCATAATAAAAGGGTATGTTTATGACACATTTAAACATAAGATTTCTTTCAGGTGGGTACAGTGCTGTGATACGATTAATCAGGTGCCTTTTTCAGAGATATTCCATATATTGAAAGTACAAGGTGCTTTGATAAGTACTGTATTAAAATAATATCATTTGATATGTGATGCAAGTTACGACTGTTATTTCAGTATTAGATCAGTGAAATTCGTGTTCATTGAATTTAACGCACTGATGTTGCACGCTGTCATAAATATGCTTCATTGTATAGAAAGACAAAACATGGCAGCATGTATCTCCAGCTGTTGTACAAAGTTTTTGCTTAGAGTCGGTTAATCTGTTACATGATTGGATTGCTAGACTCATTTACAACAAGATTCAGGTGCCTTAGCCTTTAGCATACATGACAGTGTGTCCTATTAAGGGTAGTATATAATACAACAGATACAGGGGTATCTGGCTATTTCGCATCTTATATATCATTTGGCATTGCTACAGTACTGTACAGTGCTACCATTACTGGATTATGTTTACAATGTATTAAACAATTTTTGAATAGGCCATTTATAATTTTATATCAATATTCAGTTGTAAATTAAAAAATACAGCAGTACAATACTATTCTAAAACACTGCGAATGCAAATTTTCTTGATACTTATAAATACTACCTCTCATTCAAGAAAGTGAAACCTTATACTGTAACAGGGTTTTGAGTAATGTACTGTACAGTATTACAAAAATGATACTTTTATATACAAATACAACTACTGGCATGGGTTGGTTCTCGGTGTCTATTATAATCATGACTTCTTTTCTTTATGGTTCAAGTTTAGATTTTATTTCAGGTTTGCTGCCGATTTTATGATTTTGTTGTGTGGATGTTGAAATCCTTTTTGTAGGAAGTTTTAACTAATGTTTGACAAATTACTTATGTGGTTTATCCTGGTATGTATAGTCACAAAAAAGGAGAAGATAAAAAACCATTACAGGTACAGTGTTAATTTCTTGGGATTTTCTTATGATCTCGGAGGAAAAACATATCTTAAAATCATATCTTATAGTGCTTCAGTTTTATTATTCAGCTCAAAGGAGAATAACTGTACATGCAAGTAGTACTTATTGTCATAGTGTGTAAATGCAACTGATTATATTTATTTTTAATTGGCTCATGTGTGTTTGTTGTTTACTCCTGAGATAGGTTCTGTTTCCTCTTACTCATTGCCAGGAGTCAGGGTGTTTGGTTGGTTTTACAGGTTAAGGATAAATTGGTCCCCAGGTTATTTTTGTAGTGGGTGTAGGTAAGCTTTTGTGACCTCTAACTATAATCTGATTTTCTAGTTGAAATAATTTTGGATGATCTTCCATTTTCATTACTGCATTGTACTGCCGAGAGTAAAGGTTGCATGGATTTAAAATTAGTTTCACCACTTACCAGTATAGTATATATTTTTTCAGCATTATCTCAGACATGGATAGCATTTTTGTATTTTTTCACTGATAATGAGATACAGTATCATAAATAATTTGGTAAGCAGTACTGTACTGTAACCACAAATGTACCAAAAAGCACTATGAGATTCATATGTAGGCCATTAATATGATATATTGTATTCTTTCTTATTTCTTCAAGTGTCAGTATTGTTCTCATCAAATTGGTTTTCAATAGAGAAGAGTAACTACTGTACTGAAGGTAATTTTGGTTTGAGAATTTTAAGTGAAAGGGTTTTAGATATTAAAAAAAAATTGTATACCTGTACAGGATATACAGTATGGACACCAAGGAATACTGTATCTAATATGGAAGTATAACTATATAAGAATACATGTAGCGTGATATTCCTTGGTAGACAGTTTCAGCAGAAACCAGGAGGAGACTAGACGCCTTCAGAATTTGGTGCTACAGTAAAGGAAAATGATGGAAAACAAATTAAAACATAGGACTAGTTAGATCAATGAGAGAAATCCCAGAAATCTATAGCATAAGGAAAATTGGACACTGGTTTTATGCTAAGGGATGAAAGGATGAAGGTAGAGGTATTAATGAGTAAAATTGATATTAGAAGGGTCAGCAAAAGGCAGAGAGTGGGATGGATGAATGAAATTAAAAGCTGGGTCCCCAGAAAGTTAAAAATTCAGGAAAGATTCATAGAGACTGAGAATGTTGGAGTAGAGGGTCTTGGTTACCTACCCTCAGTTATGGGGATGACACCTTAATTGATAACGGGCTTCCTTTTTAAATTTTTAAATGTGGAATTTTATATACAGTAATACCTGTAGTAACATTTGTAGATTCATTGTACAATCTGGATTGTATATTTTAAACCACATATCAGTGGAAGGTCATTTGGCTGGGTATCTTTGTTTTCTTAAAACATATGATTTAGTCCTGTTGCCTTATCAAAAAGGATTGGTTTACAATTTCACGAGGCAGTTGAGGTAAAATGAACTGCAGATGCAATGTTGAAATAATGAAGTATACAGTATTTTTACTTCAGGAAATTAGTAGAATACTGTACATTATATGGTACTGTACTGTAATACAAATATTATTAATTTTTTTTTTTTTTTTTTTGCATATGTACAGTTGTGCAGTGTTACCTTAAGAGAAAAAAATACTGTATTCCAGTATTTGATTCTTCATTGAGACGAGTGCAAAATAAAGTATTTGCGATGTTTGGATTACTATTACTTGATACTGGTACTAATTTCATGATGTATTATTTTGACCTTGTGTTGATATCCATAAATCTATTTTCTCAAAATACAGGTTGTTTTTTTCCTATTATGTTTACAGTTTACTTCAATTCCTGTGCTCGTTATTCTGCTCGTCTCCGGTGTATTTTGTGCTTAATGTGATAATTAACCAGTGATGTCAGGGTATTCAAGGAAGAGTAGGAATAATATGGTGAGCTGGTTTGGTGTGATAGCAAAGAGAAAATGGAACACAGGTGAGGCTCACACTAATTGCAATATTAAACACTGTTGCCCGTGTTGTGGTGCCTGCAAATGCTTGTGGCTGCTTCAGTCATGTAGGCATGAGTAAGATTAAGGGTATTTTCGACAACTATTGGGCTATAGGTGACTTTTAACAACCAAAATGCCTATCTTTCTAAGCTTGTGAGTTAAAATGAAGTGGAATGCAGCTGCATTATGGATAAGCCTAAAATAGTCGGATACTTAATTTCCTCATCAACAACCTTCCCACGCCACTTCACAAGCGGAGGAGCGAGCCTCAGCAGTCACTGTAAGTGTTATGAGAAGTAGTTATATAACTAATATTAACAATCATAGATACAGATTCGTTAGTATTGTTATCGTTTCGGTCTGGGAATCTTGGGATTCTAGGTTAGGTTAGATATAGTTCCTGGGTTCTGTGGCCAGGTAAGGTAAGGTAGCTCCACAGTCGTTCGATGTTCGGGATGTGTACTGCCACGAACGAACATGCACAATAAAATGTCACTGAAGAAAAGTGTCATAGAATTGTCCAAATTACCGATTGCAACTATAAAATTCACGAAATTCGTTTAGTGGTAACAAGTGAAAGGTAAGTTTTCATATAAAATGTTAAATATCGCGCTTATACATAATTTGCGCCAGAAATGCCATCGAAGAAGTGTCTTAAAATTGTCAAAATTACTGATTGCAACTTTAAATTTATCAAAATTATTTGGGTGGCAACAAATGAAATAATACTGGTACCATAGCCATTTACAGCTGAGTGCACTGGGAACGCATGAGAATCGAGCTACCGATCCCTGGAAGAGGAGGCGATTGCGACCGGCGTACTTACTATATTATATGTATAGGCTGTAAAGAATAAGAAACACCGATACGGAACGCCTCTGTAGAGGTATTATATGCATTAAACGAATATTTTGAGAATAAGAAGGGGAATATTTAGAAAAAGAAAAGGAAGTGTTTGGTTGGAGAGAAGGGAAGATCAAGATGGAGAATGAAATGGGTTAAAAGGAAATGGATTTACTGAATGATAGAGTAGGATAGACGTCCAGGAAACAGCAGTGTGTGTGTGTGCGGAAAACGTGATGCTGTATTGTATGTGTTTTGGGGATAATTTTGTTATTGATGAGTGACTTTGATTTTGTGACGACAGGGATAACAAATCATATGGATACTTTTTTTTTTTGGGTGGGGGGGGGGGAGTCTTTGTTGTGGGAGGGAAGATTGGTGGTAGTGGTGTGGAGGTGAGGGGGAAAGAAATGGTGATGTGTAAGTGAGGGGAAAGCATCGATGGCAGTGTGAGTGAGGAAGAGCAGGGATGGTGGTGGAGAAAACAAGAGGGGGGGGAAAAAGGAGGTGGCAACAAGAAGTAACTATATAAGGAGAAGGAGAATGCAGGAACGATAGAATAAAGAGAGGACAGAGGATAGGAGGAGGAGGAAGAGAGAACATGGTGGATTGGAAGAGAAGAAGGCCTTTTTTTTAGTTTAAACAATTTATTGACAAAGCTTTGAGTACAGTTTGCCTATTCTGAGTAATTCGGTCAGGTCTTGACACTGAGGGTGGTATCACTTCTCACTGCCACGCAGGAGAGAGGTTCATACACAGAAATACATCATATTCATTAACAATATATATAGGTCAGATTCATGTGGGTGATGTCACTGTTCACTGCCATGCAGGACAGTGGTTCATATACATTGGACGTCATATTCTAATTGAAGACTAATCAGTGTGGGCTAGCAAATTTGGGATAAACAGCAAGAATGTCCTCTAGCACCCCCGATTCAATGTAGTAATTACAAAGTTCATGATACAATAAGCCAAGTGGCCTGAAGAAGGCAGGGAGGATAGGAAAAGGAGTGGGGCTGAAATAAGAAGATTGAGGTAGGGAGGTGAAGGAAGATCTCTGGCGTCAGGAGGAGGAATACTGTATTAAGAAGGCAGCTTAGAGGTGAGGAGAGTATGTGTGGACAGACAATATTCAAGAGAGACAGAGCACCTGGTGGTTGGTTGTCTCGGAAACGCATATGGATAGGAAGTCCTAACAAAGAATATGAAGCGGGAAACACGTAGCTATTTATCTTAAGATTTAGAGTTAATCTTACACAAAGGGTTAAATTCTGAAGTATAAAGAAAAAAATAAATGATCTGGTTTATCAGTAAGATGCTGAAAAAGAACAGAGGGAAGAAAAATGCAAAAATCATTATATCCCTAATATGAAACCCCTTAACACGCTCAGCTCCTTGTAATCCTTTGTCGTGGGTTGTATGAAGAGTCTCCCTGACCTGTTCTGCTAGGCTCTCTCCTCTCATTGGATGATGGCCAACAAAACTTTCATCATTAGCATCAGCATCATCAACAAGCTGCACCTCATACAAGTACTGTAGTGAATAACTCTGGACTACTTTACACAAAGTTGACATAAGAATGCCTCTCTGAGCTGGCAGTTATTTTCCTACCTCTTAATCTTTCTTTTCTAATTAAATTAGCGGGAGAGTCGCATTAATACCCAGGGGAATAATATGAAAAGCAAAAGGAAATGAAATCTATTGACCTTTATTTAAAAGAGTTACCCTAAGCTCCTACAGAATATAGGAGAAATACAAGACGCTCTTTTGGGTCTTTGGTTATTACGCTGAAGAGCTCAATTATCAGCGGGCGACAAACTCCACAATTCCAAGAAGGGAATGCAAATACAAAAATGGCCCAAAACAACATTAATTCATGAACACAGACGACTCAAGTTACAGCAATAAAACCAAATATAAAAACATTAAAAACATGAATGATATGCTAGCAGAGGGAGAGTAACTGCAGTAGATAAGGTTAGTAGGAAATGAGAAGTCGAGGAGGATACATAAACCTGCTTTACGAGAGGTGTTCACTTTAATAAGTTACCTTTAGTGGAGTAACTTGATTCTCTTAAGGAATAAATTGACCCTGGGAATGGGTGAAGAATTCATAGAAAATCATCACATGCACAAAACTGTTCTTGAAAATTATTTATTTCGTTTTTTGTAATTGACATAGCTACAGGTTATACATCACACTAAGGTAGAGAGAGAGAGAGAGAGAGAGTTACGTCACAAGGGAAAGAGAGCAATAATGGTGAGGGTGTGGAGGCTTCATCCTTCGCCAACGTTCACGGTCAGTCGACAAGTGCAGTATTAACGTTTATTTTTCATTCTCTCCTTCACGACTTGCTCAGAATTGTCAAATCGTTGTCCTTTATTAGGAACATTATCTACTCAGTTTTAAGCGGGACATTACAAATTAGAATAAAAGCTTATCATATATTGTTATGAAAAAAGTGAGTGTTGATCATAGAGTGGGATAGTATATAAAATATTTTCGGTATAATTACGGCAGATGAAGTTATATAATATTATATCTGAATTTGGTAAATCAATCGTTATTTAAGTGAATGCATTTTTGATTAATTGGTTTAAGCATGTTTAAATTTTACATTGTATTGTTAAATTTAAATCATCAGAATCATGACTATCATTTTTATGACATTTTCAAAGTGTAATTAATCATATCTGTACATCGCTCTTCGATTTCCGAGTGAAAAGTATCATTTGTCATTATTTTAGCAAGTTGTGTTAACCTCCATTTTTGTTCTTACCTTCTGAACTCACGAGAGAACCTAAACGAATTATATACGTAGTGGGTCAAGTGCACCTTGTACTTCCTCCATCTTTACTACACATTAATAGTAAAACATACGCATCAAGCATTATGTAACTGATTGGTTATGGAAAGATTACTTTGAGGTTTTGTTATTTATAAAAGCCATTTATGACGCGTGTGTCTCATTAACTCATTCAGAATTTGACGAGGATAAAATTCATATTCAGTACGTAGTATTATTCCGTTCAGTGTCTTGTGTTCGCTTGGATAATCGCTAAACTATTTTAAATATCCTTGCTGTACCTTTATTTTGTTCTTAATATCGACTTCTTTTACAGATGTTGTAAGGTGTGAATTAAAAGTCCCCAAGCTGCTAGTAAAATATTACATTTATCTGATATCACATGACTCTTACTTGTTTATACTGGGCGCCTTTCATCAATCATACAATACAGTCTCCCTGACCTTCTGATGTTGCTATATATTTTCGATAAGTCTATGCAAAACATATTGTCATAAAAACAATATTACCTGGGATAATGTACAGTACATTGTCGGCCATAATGTTGTGGTAGTTCTTAATACAGCATCAAATTTTTTACCTTAAAAGTGAAAGCGGGTCACATCCTGACGGCCTGTTAGGGACAGTGCGAATACAACACACTGAATACTAAGCCTTCGGTACAAAGGAGGCAGCTTAACCGGTACAAGTATCGACCTTGGGCCGGTGTAGCAGTTTGAGAGTTTCCCCATTCTCAACTCCTTGGTCATATTGCGCATGAGCGAAAACGAGGGGATCTCCCACACCACTGAATACGCAGTCTGGGAGCTCCCCCGTCTGAGCACTCATAGCGATTAATAATACACACAGTCCTTAATTAGACTACCATTGTTTTAGCAGTCAAGTTAGGTTAGATTAGGATAGGTTTGGTTAGGTTAGGTTTTGTTTAGTTACTACAAAAAGGGTTTACACAGATAAATACGCATTATATAATTACAAGTGATCGCGAGCACCTTCGTGCCCAGTGAAAGTTTGAACGCTCGTACTTGGCTAGCGTACAGCGAATGAGGGTGCGCCAAGTCCGTAGACTTGCATGGTTAATTAGGGTGCGCCGAGTCCGTAGACTTGCATCGTTTTCCATCGTAAATATAATTGTTAATTAATGC